CAGAACACACAACAAGCAGGGAAAAGAGTGTAATCTCTAGCATAAATCCTCCTCCTCCTCCTGTATTAATGTCAGCGGTTACTGTCCCCCTGTCCCCCCCCCCCCCCCCCCCGTTGCTTTGTGTATGTCTGCATTGGCATTCAGGTGTATCATACAACTGTATGCATACGTATCTACAGACCTTCTCATGAACATACATGAAGTTGTCTGTGTGAGTTTTAATGCAGGGCTGTCCCATTTCATTGTACCTATCCATATAATAAGACCACCAGTGGGGGAATTAATTTAGATCTTCTTTTCTGCTCATTGACACCAAGTGATCAGTCATACTCATTTCCCCAAATGCCAGTTGGCTGTGTTGATTATTATGTGGATCTCTTCCAATCTGATTTGCTTCTCATTTTAGGAAACGGCTGCTTTAAAGCAGATAGTACGGAAAAGAGGAGAGACGAACTCTTGGTTATCTTGAATGTCTCAGAAGCACCATTGGCCATCATGGAAAACGATGGTTGGACAGCTCTGCTCTGTCCCATTGCTAGCCTCCCCTTTGCGTTTTTAGTTTTAGTGGAGACTGGGGTGAGCTGAAATGCAAATAAAACTCTCCGTTTGGTGGTATTGACACTTTGGGACAAATATGTGCATATGCAGCGGGATGTCATCCAAGCAAGGCAAGGGTCAAGGAGGGAAGACGGCTCCTCTGGGCAGAGGAATGACACTGTGCTTTGAGGACAGTGTGGTTGTGGTACGCAAGCAGGAGTTTGCACGAAGGAGGCCCAGTTCTGGGGTTATTTGGGGAGAATAATCTATAGCCTTATCGTGGCTATCTGAAGAGTCCCAGCCACTGTGATCAGTGGGCATTTTTCCCCCCTGGCAATTGTGTGGTCAGCATTTCACCAGGGAGAATGGAAATCCAGGAGGTCTGAGATTGGGGGGGTCTGGAAATGCTGTTTCATAAAAGAAGCTCTGGGTTTTTGGGACATACACTTGCCGCTTCATTTTAACGTACCAGGCTTCATTCACGTTCAGTGAGCGTCCAGTTCTAAGGAGTTGGTGAAGAGGGATTTGGGAGAAGAGCGGGAGCTCAGAGAAGCTGGGGCTGGTGGTGGCGGTGAGTGACTTGCTGACAGAACCACTTTCCTGCTGCCTGTGCAACAATTCCGCCAGCCAACCCTTAATCCCCAATTTGCAGGAAGGAGACATTGCATGTGTGCTGGGATTCCCAGGGGTGCAAAATAGGTGGTTTACTTTGCTCGGTCTCAACACTGAATCCCTGAATTAGTAGATGAGAGGGCTTTGCAGTAGGACTTTGACAAGCAGAGAAGGCCTCCGACTGAAGCAATTGCTTCCTCTGTCATTTTGCCAGGAGTCAGCGGAGCAAAAGGCAACTAGGGTCCTTCACACAGCTTTACTTTTGTGGTCTTAATGCAGCTGATACACAAGAATATTTTCTCTTGTAGAGGGAAAGAGGTTCTTAATTCAGGCTTTGATTTTGCTTGTTAATGCACAAATCGGGAAGGTGTGGTTTGTTGTTGCTTAAACTTATTACCCATCGTGCTGCCCGTAGGCGAGGGAGGATAAGGCCACCGTTTAGTCACCAATGTCTTTTGCGTCCTAGGACGTCTGGCCCGTGGGTAGGCCAGCATGGCGACCATGGTTCCCCCTGTGAAACTGAAGTGGCTGGAGCACCTCAACAGCTCCTGGATCACGGAAGACAGCGAGTCGATCGCCACCAGGGAAGGCGTCTCCGTCCTCTACGCGAAGCTGGTCAGTAACAAAGAGGTGGTGCCCCTCCCTCAGCAGGTCTTCTGCCTCAAGGGGCCGCAGCTGCCGGACTTTGAGCGCGAGTCCCTGTCCAGCGATGAGCAGGACCACTACTTGGACGCGCTCCTTAGCAGCCAGCTGGCTCTGGCCAAGATGGTCTGCTCGGACTCCCCCTTCGCCGGGGCGCTCCGGAAGCGCCTGCTGGTCCTGCAGCGCATCTTTTACGCCCTTTCCAACAAGTACCACGACAAAGGCCGGGTGAAGCAGCAGCAGCACTCGCCGGAGAGCAGCTCGGGCTCCACGGACATCCACTCGGTCAGCGAGAGGCCCAGGTCGAGCACGGACGCGCTGATCGAAATGGGGGTGCGGACCGGGCTGAGCCTGCTCTTCGCGCTGCTGAGGCAAAGCTGGATGATGCCGGCCGCGGGGCCCGGGATCAGCCTTTGCAATGACGTCATCCACACGGCGATTGAGGTGGTCAGTTCCTTGCCTCCTTTGTCCCTGGCCAACGAGAGCAAGATCCCCCCCATGGGCCTGGACTGCCTCTCTCAAGTCACAGTCTTTCTTAAAGGAGTAACCATCCCCAACTCCGGGGCGGACACCCTCGGGCGGAGGCTGGCTTCCGAGCTGCTGCTGGGCTTGGCGGCTCAGCGCGGCTCCCTGCGGTACCTCTTGGAGTGGATTGAGATGGCCCTCAGCGCATCGGCCGTGGTCCACACCATGGAGAAGAAGAAGCTGCTGCAGAGCTCAGAAGGCCTGATCAGCTTCGATTGCTTCATGATGATCCTGATGCAAATGAGGCGGTCCTTGGTACGTACGTTCTGGGGGTGGGAACGGAAGCAGATCTTGGCGCCTGTGGCTTCTTTGCAACCAGAGGTGGCATAATGTCTGTCCTGTCGGCCTCACCTGTGTGTGGTTGATGGCATTTGAACAGTTTCTAAAAGAGCTGATCGTCTTTAAAGCCCCACTTTAAATGTTTGCTTTTGGTTCTGCTATCAGTTATTTCTGATTCGAACATAGGAAATCACAATAAAATGTTAAATAAAATAGGCAAAACAGAAATAGCATCAGCAGCAACTTAGAACTGCGTTAGTTATTCCTAATTACTTGAGAGGTGCCTCTGCTTATTTTCTGGTTAGTAGCAGCTACAAAAAAAAAATGCTCTTCTCATGTTAGTAGCTTGAAACATTGGCCCCTGTCCTGCCTGTCTCTCGTTCAGAAGAAGCAAATAAAAATACAGTCGTTCTGGTGTGAAACCAAAATAAATTAAAAGTAGAATGCCGAAGAAGATGCATACAATTATTTGCAAAAAGAATGAAGAGTTGAATCCAATCTGGGCCGGTCACTGGGACCGGAGGTTTAGTCTTCCAACCTTTTGGACTCATCCTCAGGGAACTTCTCTCTCGCAGACTGTTGTGCCATAAAGTGCTGCTGTTTTGAGGAAATAAATTCCTTTTAAGTCTGTTTTATTTGGGGAAATATTCTACTGCTTGGCTGGTGAGGTGTGTTTATATACCTTAATATCCGTGCGGATATTAAGGAAGAGATTCAAAAGGCTTTCTGGGAATTTTTTACAGAACTGTATAAAGGGGATAAAATTAATGGTTTAGACATAGACAAATATTTAGACAAGGAGAAAATACCTTCAGTTAGAGAAGAACACAGGCAAAAATTGAATCAACCAATAACCTCAAATAAAAC